AACCACTCTTCCGCCTCACCTTGTACTATATCATCCGATATCTGAAAGCACAAGTTCTAAAGTGTGCCACTGATGAATGGAAGAATCAAATAATGAAAAATGGTTGCTTACTTTATAGGATAATTAGGCTATTCGGAATCATAAGCAAAAAAAGGATTTCTCAAAAGACGTTCGCCCGGCTGCGCTGACGACTACTCAGCAAAGACTCACTGAGCCCGTTCGATAGTGTTACCACAGCGACACTTTCTGTCACTCCACAACGCCATCCTTTCCAACTGAAGCTATTAAAAGGCACAGCTGCAATATTTTGTTCGGCACCACTTAAGTTCTCAACTACTCGACACTTCTATAAAAGAAGAATCTTGATTGATTGATATGTGGGGTTTAACGTCCCAAAACCTATAAAAGAAGAATCGAGTGAGACAGATCTTGGTTTCAGTTCGAGACACATCGATGGTGTCTGTACAAGTGCTAACATATAGACAGAAACTTGAAGCATAATAAGAATACCTGAGATGAATTTAGGCTTTATATGCAGCGTGCGATTGAATGGAACATACCATAAATTTACCGTTGAGAACTAGGAAGACAACAGATATGTCAGAGAATAAAGAAGGGTTCTGGTAACTGGTTCATATTGCAAGAAAATTAACGATGAACCTGTGCGGCTAACATAATGAAAAGCGCCGACAACCGATGGCCATTTAGGTGTTCGTGGCGATGGAATGACTACCAGTGGAGGGCCACCGATGATTACGTGTTGTGGTGAAACTATCCAATGTGCAAAAACCATTTCGAGCAGCATGCGCACGAGATTTTGAATATGCGATTATTAGGGGAGAAAGAGAGAGAAAAACGATAAAAAAGAGAGGTGGGCAGGTTAACCAGATGCTGGTATCCGGTATACTACCCTACACTGAGGTTGGGGAATAGGGGGTTGAAAGAGAGAGCACCAAAAATAAAAAAAGCAAAAAGTTAGCACACACACTCACAAAATCAATCCACTCAGAGCTGTTCCGATAGGCCAGCAGTTCGCAAAAAGCCCAGTACCGCCTGCACGGCCTTCTTGTGGTACGATGAGTCTAGACGATGGCGCAGTATACTTTCCACTGAGAGTGGCTGGTCATATATCTTGAGTAGCGTATTAGAAAGGTATTGTCTTTGTATGTTATATTCCTAGCAGTCGCAGAGGACGTGTCGAAATGTCTCTTCATCTCTGCATTATGCACAGGTGCCGGTGTCGGCCATCCCTATGCGGAACACGTGCGCACTGGTAAACGCCACGCCCAACCGTAGTCTGCACAGAGCAGTACCGTCACCTCATCAAAGTTTTGCTGAAGCCGCAAGTTTAATGTTGAATCAAATGAGTGTAATCTTCCAAGCGTAAAGAAAATCACGGCATATCCACGGAGTGAATGATGATGAGTGGGGCAAAGCGCTGGAGGGTTACGTATACAAATACTGTATATATTTACACAAGAAATTCTACAATATGTAAGTGGCAGCTACACGTCGCTTCCGTTCCCCCTTCCCTATATTGGCTTTATGTTCGGTGAATTGGTGGACCGGTGATGAGGCATAGTGGGATGTTTGCAAAGATGAAGTAGTGGACTGTTTACAAAGGTGGAACTGTATGTGGTCACGTAAAAACTAAAAATGGGCACTGTGAGACAATCTATGGTTCTATAACGCGCAGTTGAATACAAGTACACGATCATCTTGCATTTCATATTGACTACTTCTCAACACTATTTGCTTCATGGTCAGTGAAGTGCTGGATTGGTGATGGGGCATAGTTGGATGTTTGCAAGGACGAAGTAGTGGGCAGCTGGCGAAGGTGAAACTACAGGCGGTCACGTACATACATACATATATATATATACAAGGGATGAACAGACACACGCTTCATGGAGCTTCACCCTTAAAAAGACTAATTCAGAAGTGACATGGAGCAATGGCGAGCAAGCATGCGAAGTTTCCTAGCAGCGTCCGTCCTAAAGACAGGTACCCACAGGTCAAGGTCTTCTGTATGGGCTGATCAGGCAGCTCAGTCAACCTTTTCATTACCGATGATTCTACAGTGAATTCCCAGTCACTGAAATATAACGTGGTGCTTTTCATGATGTAATGCCCAAAATTATGCTTTTGATGCTGAACGTTATGATGCGTATGGTATTGCTTGTCACTCTGCAAAAGCATATAATTCAAATCATCAGTTCTCCACGAACATTATATACTTGAAATAGTATAATTTACTGGACAAAGCACTCCGCATCATTTACGCCTCACTGTACGACAAATTCCACCGAGCTAAGTGATAACTGCTGTACAAATATCTTCACTTAAAAACGAGTGTTCGTCTTTGTTCTCTTTTTGTTCATTGCTCGCTACTTTGCTGGTCATTGAAGACGGATCAGAAACGAGCGCAATCTCCATCTTTGCTCCTGCTTCTTAAAACCAACCAGGAGGCCTTTCTACGCGTGAAAACACGAATACTCCAGACAAAACAAAACAGGTAGTGTAGTGATACGGCGAGAACAAAACACGTTTTTAAAAAAGTGTAATATTTGAAATCTTACCACGGTTCTACAAAAGATACCTGGGCAAGAAGTATGGGAGATGCAGATACAAGATACTTCTGGAATGAATGTTTCCGACATGATACTTTCCAATGATATCTTAAGGTAGTCCGATACATTTGTAAATTGGCTACTATAGGATACAATTACACAGAAGATGCCTATCTACAGGAGTGTTTAAATAAAACTGACATACCTGCAACCTCTTTGTTTGTTTCAATGGAAATGTGTTAGAATCTCAACAGACATGTTTTCTTACTTATTTACATTAGTTTCATTCCGAAACAAGCTATTGGAACTAGTTTACTTGATAGCTCTTTAAAAGCTGCGGTATCAGGGGTTTTTCTTTGACGCTTCAGCGGTTGATGCATGTCACTGCTCACTTGGCGGTCAGCTAGCGGGTTGCCGACTAATTGCAAGAACTTCAATAAACAGGCTCAGCGAGATGACACAAATAATTTTGCAAAACCTTACCTTGTCCGTAATCTTACAACCATTTTAATAGCACCACATGACCTCACAGGTGTAAAGCAGGAAAAATAATGCAGGGGATAATAAATCCGAAGAATTTGTTTGTTTACAGCTGGTACTTTTGATAAGTTTATATATCCACGTATATTGTATATATACCTTCATACGTCTGGGTGCTCCAGTGATCACCCCATCAATTTGAGGCAAACCAAGTTTAGTATGGGAGAGTGATATAGTTTTACACCTATGGCTCGCTCATCAAGACATGAATATTGAAAAATCTTGTCGCTGCGTCGTTGAACCCTTTCCGCCGGACATATTTGGCACATGCCCGCATACGAAGGGTGAGTACGACATAAATATTGCGACAATCTCGTCCCGTACATAGTAGAACCCTTTCCGCCGAGCACATGTCGCACATACCCGCATACGACGCGTGGCTATGCGCCAATGTTACTTTACAGCTGTTATCTATCAAGAAATGAAGAAAACAGACATTTATGTTTCAAACGCGAAAGCGTAAAGAAAAACCAACATCAGCTGCATTCACCCCCAAATGCAAAGAATAAATGTTCTGATCCCAGAAAGAATCGAATCCAAACATTCTGCGTGGCAATTGAGTATTATACCACAGAGCCACTCCAGGTCTCAGACCCACTTTGGAAACACACCCTGTGCAGGCGCAATCGTTGTAAACCAACAGTTGAGGTTGCAGTTGAGGTACTCGTTATCCAATTTTATACACATTATTTCTTTACTTTTACGATACAGCCGCCACATCGGGTTAACGTTATCGGCCACAAATTCTGACGTGCTGTAGACCCAATGCCTATGACACGGCTGCTCATTTGGCCGTGGTTCTATGACGGTTGTTTTCCCGGAAGACCATCTGAGAGCGCTGCAGCACAATAACGTAAAAGCGCAGTATATTTATGGCTCGTTATACCACCAGTATGAGAGCCTTCCATCCTACAAGCGGGGCGCATTTTGGCTTTGCTCATGGAACGGTTGTCGGGGTCACTTTGTCCTAAAAATTGTTAGACTTAATCTTTTTCATCAATCTGGCATTATACTCTAGCGATATCTCAGTGAAGAATGTGTGGCTAGAGCATGGAGACCGCCTTCTACAGGAGGTCCCTACCGATTACAGAACGTAATTTAACATCCCAGGACTGCAAGTCTGGCAAGTTGGTTTCGCAAAAAAGCCATGAAGTTCCGCAAGGTTTATGAAGGAGAACAACTAGTTTCTAGCAGGTACTCGAAGCAGCGTGGTTTGGCTAATGTTACACAATACCATGCAGCGGGAAAAAAGCAAGCAGAAATTAATTAATTGCGCCGAAGGAGTGAGGAGAAAGTTAAGCTGTAGTGAATAAATGACTACCGATAGAACACGCTCTCTTAAAGCGGTAAATATTTGATAGTTTGATGATGGCTACTTTCTCCGTTACTGAAATAATCGACCTTCATAATTGTATTCTTAATATATCATAAATATTTACTTTTTAAAAACAAGGAGCCATTACAAAATGCAAAAAATGGCTTAATAATGATTCTGGTGTTGAGTATTCCTTTAATCGTTCCAAAAGCCACGGTAACCCATTTTCACAAAACGAGCTACCCGCCACATTATAGAAGATGGGCAGCTATACTACAAATATTGGTAGTCATAATGAAAATGCACTTTATTGGGCTAATGATCGGCGCTCAAACATGACAAAACTGCACAATCTCGCAGGAGCTCTGAGCATTTCGACGCATACTTTATTCCACAATTCACAGCCAGCAAGGATTCAAACCATTTTAAGTGCAGCACAAAATTCCACGCAAGGAGCAGTAGCAATTTGTTTGTGTATACCACATGCACTTTGTTGCGCCTGTCATGTCTTCGAAATGAACAAAAGCTAAATAGTCCAGTTCATGCGCTGAGGTGTAAAATGCTCAGGCACCCCTTCAACTGCGTCCTATTCTCGCTTTACAGAACAACTCGGCGAAAGCGATGAGGCAGGCCAGACCAAGACCAGCAATGAGAATGACGAACACGCCGCCGACTGTTCGCAGGCCCAGCGCGCTAGTTGCGTCAGTCCTAGATTCGCCGGCCTCTTTAGTAGGACATTCATTGAGCGGATCTCGTACTTTCCACCAACGATCCTTGAATTTTCGCAGGGTGCCACGCTCCTGCAGCCGTAGTAATGTTGACGACAGGATGTTGCGGTACGGAGAACCTGCACGAATAAAACAATATATGACATGGCTTGCTAAGACTAGAGTTTTATGCCGGCGCCCACAAAGACTGCAGTGACGTATTTCCGTCCAGGAAATTGCGTAGAAAAATGAGCACATCAAATAAGAGTGGTATTCGTGGTCGCATCGTGGGGCGCAATGTTCACGGAATGGAATTTAGTCTTTTTTCACTTTTCGCTGCAGGATATCCCTAAATAGCACTTCCTATTGAAAACCAATAAAACGTTTATCAATAGTCTCATGGTTACGGCACACTCTGCAGTTTACGTCCAAAAGAAAAAAAAAGTTGTCTTTTGTCTTCTCTTCACAGCAAGTGTACCTGTGTGCATCTTAAAAGTGAAAGTCTTCAATTGCGGAGACACACACACTTTGTTTTGTGGTCGCATACTCTGATGGCATCACCACCCCTTTTTTTTATATCTTGTCCTTTCATATCGCAGTGGTCTGGGCTGGCAGGACGATGTCACCGCCTGCAAGCGGCAAAGTTAAGCAATGCATCATGACCGGGACATCCGGTATTAGCTCCTGCAGAGCGTTGTCCTTATGCTTCCGTTTAATTTGATGCCGTTACAATAATAGAAGTAGAATTTTGTCAACGTCATGGCCCACGACGAGTTGGCGACATTAGTCCAAGCCTCGCCTTGCCTCATATGATCTATCCATAAGAATAATAGCGGTACGATGCACCACTGACTCACCTGGCAATAACTTCATTAGGTGAAGCTTTGGGCTAGTTGGTTTAGTAGTACGAAGTACGAACAACGTAAATTCAAGACGGGTACACAAGAACAAACACTGACAAGCACTGTAGAGTCTCTTCTTTTCAGGGCCTCTTCTTGCGTCCCCATGTTGAATTTGCATTGTTCCTAAATCATACTGGCAACAACGCCGCTATTATAACACTGCGCATCGCACTTACGTTCGCCCTGAGAAAGATCGCCGCCAGGCTAGAAGGTACAATCAACGCGCGTTGCATTTCCCTCCAATATGCCACGGGATGGCGGCCTTGGCTCAAGATGTGCATCCAGTCAGCAACGCCCTTTTGGCTGTCGCACCACTTTCTCTGCTTGCGCTCACAGTGGTAACTACTACAACAACCACAAAGATTTGTATATTGCTTTGATCATGGTCTTTAGTTGTCAGCATGGAGATGTGCTAGCAGGCGCCAACGTGTGTGGATCTACGTTAATCAGTGATATAAGCACCAAACAACAACAGACGTTGCGCAAGCTCTCTTATATAAATGTACAATAAGCATTTAACTACTTCAGGAACGAGAGGTTTTGCTTTCATGTTATGCCACCTGCTTTGACGTCGGAATTACCCGTTCATTTTTTTGCTTCACAGACATAACGGCACAAACACTGTGCCTGGACATGTAACGTGGGGTATATGGGACGATATTGCATTAATCACTATATATTGAACTTCTAACAGACCTGCTAATAGATAACAACACAATGCGACTTTAGATTGGAACTGCCTTCGAAGACAAGCACAACTTTAGATTTCCCCGTTACGCGCTCAATGTAAAGAAAAAACTAGAGGCAGAGCATATTTACCTGCATACATAAGTTCGATGCAATGATAATACAGTAGCTTGTATTGACTAAAAACTCATATAATACGTCGCCAATAGGATTTCTGGCCTCTTTATGCACTCAATTTCATTAAGGTTGCGTGAAAAAAACGTGCTTAAAAATTGTTTCATTTTTGTCAGAAGAGGAAGTATCATTCATAAAACATAGATCTTAGTGTTTACGTATCAACGCAAGACGATTATTAAATTGCAGCTTCATAGACGAACAACTTTCCACAAAGAAAACACGCTGACATCATCTACATCACATTGTTAATGCATAAAGCTCCTAATCACATGGTTGTTTATGAGCAATGCGTCGTTCAATAAAGTGTGCTTAGCGCACCATTGTGGACAATGCAGCAAGCCAATGCAAGAAATATGATAGGTGTAACATTTTTATAAAGAAGAGAGCAGAGTGGAGCGGGGAAATAAATGTTCATTATTAACATCAGAGTCAATAACGCGTCTAAATGAGCATGGGAGGGGTATGCAGCGTGAGGTCAGGTGCTCGAAGAGGACGCAGAAATTTAGTTGGGCAAATAACGTTACCGACTACAGGAATAACGTAGCCTTAGCAAACACGGCGTCGGATCAATTGGTCAAAACGGGAGCACAAAAGAGGCACCTGTCCTCTTGGGGCGAGTGGAGTCAGCCTCATGATAGGGAAGATGACAATAACTATGGTGAATATGAAAATGAGACACGTGGTAGATGTTAAGGCTCACCATGCGGCGTGGCGATGCCGTAACCCTTGGAGTCTAGAAGACCCCCGATCTGCTTGAGCTGGCACCGTCTTCGTACCACGTACTCAATGCTCGTAGACTCCATGAGGAAGGCGTAGCCACCGCGTTCCACACGCCCAATGCCCTCCGCGATGGAAGACACTAGGTCCTCTTTCATGGCGTGCCACATAATCTCGTACGTCTCGTGCCTCCACTCCTGTGAACCAGTGATTCCGATAATATGAACTAAAATGTTTATATAAGTGATGCGTCAGCAGGGTGCAATTGCCTTCTGACTTTTTTTAAATAAAATGGGACAATCTCAAAGTGCACCACAAGCGAAGTTTCACTTTACAGGGTGAGCTTTTCATTGTGCTTGTTTTTTGTGAAAGCCGATATGTTTACTTTTCTTAATATTTTGACAAGTAGAGATTACACTAAGAAGTAAGCGACACTCACTACAAGAAATAGTAATAAACGGAAACACAAGAAGAGTGTGTCTTGTCATGGCGCTAGCACGAACTGACATTAGGTTTTCTGAAGAGCACAACAGAATTGGTCCCCAGCAGAGTAGAAGTCGTCCATCCGGCTCGAATGTTGCGAAATTGTAATAAACAAAACAAATATAAAATGAGGCAATGGTCAAAGCTAAGGCTTGTACAGAATACATATGATAACCAAGCATGGGTTTGGATCGAGTAAGAGCCCGCTAGCTGCAACTATATTTAGTGAAATTTGATTTATTAGTTACTTGGAAGTGCAGACTTTTCTTATGAACAACTGGAATCGTAGCCTTACCTCAACGACATGCTTTTCTCTATGTGACCTCTGAGATACGCGTATACAGCGCTAAAAGATGCTGGCAGAGTCGATATCGAAGGCAACACAGAAATAAGCGCAGCTGGTTCTCCACCTATATGGGATTCATCAGGAGAGGCCCCACAAACCTGAACGAGCTAGTCCACTCAAAGGCGCGAGGGCTCGCTTTCCACGACATCGGAGAACTCCCCTGCCAGCCCGCAGTTGTGTAGAATAGAGATCAACCGACCACTTATAATGAAATTATTTAGCCCTCTTATCTCAGCAGGAGAGGCTTTCCTCTTCCTCACAATAGGGTAAATCGAGCGCAGGCTTTGACTTTCGGTCTGCTGCAGACGGGTTCGTATCTCAGCTCGGCTTTATTGCACAAAATTTATCCCGATATTTCTCCTAACAGCTCTTTATACCACATGCTCTGAAGGGACGACGACGATCTGACTGCTTAGCAGATCGCAATCGATCGCTATCGATCACTATCGAGCAGTCGCTATCGATCGCAGATCGATCAGCGACTGACGTTTGCCTGCTCTGAGGGTTTGGCAAAGATTTCAGTAGTTGTGATTGATGTAGTTTATTCTTTTTTTCGTAAGCGTTTCTATAGTGTTTTAATTATCTGGCGAGTGTATTTTCAGATAGTACGACCAGGCAGATGCCGTTTTCCTCACCTGGACCAGGGGCTTTCTTCTGGTCTGCTTCTCTTCCTTCGCAGGAATTGCCAGTGGACTTGTTTTTACGCAATGGTATCTCATCTGTTCCTGTGGCATTGGTCCCAAGCAACGATGGTATTATACGGATGAAGAATCCAAAAATGATGCAGACGGAGTTCAGAGCCGCTACAACTCACTACCAAAGCATCACAGAGGTCAGGCAGTTCGGCAAGGGTGGCATTCTTTGCTTCTCGTCTGACCAGCTGTGTGTTCGAGACCTACTAAACTGCTCGGTATTCGCTACCAACCCGGTGAGCGCATTCATTCCACCTCACCTAGCTTGCGTCAAAGGCCTCGTTCGGGGTGTCGATGTCAACTTGACCCCAACTGAGATATTAGATATGTTTTCAGAAGCAGGTGTGATAGCTATCTATAGATGTAGTCGAGTTGTGGACAAGAACAAGGTCCCAACGGAGTCCATGATTGCTACATTTGCCGGGTCGAATCGCCCAACCGAAATCAAAGCATGGCCTTTAATATACAGAGTGGAGCCACTATCGCCTCGTCCCCTACAGTGTATTAAGTGTTGGCGTTATGGGCACACAGTGAAAGGATGCAGTTGAGTACCTAGATGCAGAATTTGTGGTGAGACTTCGTTTTTTTTATGAGTGCGCGTGCGTTTTTTTCCTCTCTCTAACACCTCTTTCTTCCCCTACTTCCCCACCTGCAGCGCTGGGTAGCAAACCAGATGCCAATATCTGGTTAACCTCCCGGCCTTTCCTTTCTCACTCACTCTCTCTTGTGGTGAGACGCACAACTCAAACGACTGTGAAAGTAATGAAGAAAAGCGCTGTCTTTGCCATGAAGCACACTGCGCTGATAACCCAAACTGCTCAGCCAAGGCACGTCAAATCCAAATCCTTGAAATTGTAGACAGAAGACGATGCTCCCGAAAAGATGCCATTGCTGAAATCCAAGCCCGAACTCAAGGGTTTGCAGGAGCAGCTGCCCGTCATAACATAGCAATGGAAGCATCCTTTTCCCTATCAATTGCGGACATGATCGAGAAGGCTGTGGATAAGGCTATGCAACGTTTTGCTACCCCCTATGTGAGTCGCTGTCGCACATTGTGAGTAACCAAATTGCACAAGTCTATGGAGCACAGATAGATATAAGTACGGCTGTAGAAAATGCTGAGTCTGCACACACGACAAGTGAGGCAGAATCTGAGATAACTCCACCGGATGCACAGTCTGCAGAGCCCTCTGCAGAAGGCGTTCAGAGGCAAAGCGAGGGTGCACAGGAAGCTTCTCAGGACACACAAGATATGGACATAGATCTCAAATGCCTAAAGCGTTCTAGATCCCCTGTATCGAGAAAACCTGGCTCGGCGAAGCACGTAAAAAGCAAGAAATGCCAGAAAGACAACCTTTCAAAAACCAATTTTCTAAAAGAAGGTATTTTAGATAAGCTAATTGCCGAAACCATTTTAACGAAATCATAGGGTCTCTTAAAATTATACATTGGAATTGCCAATCTCTTCACTCAGCCATAACAGATCTGTTATACCTGTCTTCCAAATTCGATCCGGCTATTTTTGCATTACAAGAAACTTGGCTATCCACACATCATTTATTTCACCTACCCAACTTCCAAACCTTTCGTCTAGACCGTCCATCTAAAGGTGGAGGTTTAGCTTTCTTTATAAACAATAAAATTAGTTTAAAAGTCAAAAACTCATACAAATGTATGTCTTCTGAATGCGAGATTTTCGCGTTGGATATTACCTCGCCAGGATACTTGCCTTTCTCACTAATAAACGTCTACTTTCCTGTATGCGTTCAAGACACGAGATTGTTAGATATGGCTGCTCATTTAGGCTGTAAAGAAAAAAATATAGTTGGTGACTTCAACTCTCACCTTAGCTGCTGGGGTTTTAAAACAGATAAGCGTGGACAACGGTTGTGGGACTGGTCGGTAGACAACAACCTATTGTGCCTTAACGCTAGAACTCCCACATTTATTCGAGGTCAATCACGCTCCGCCTTAGATTTAAGCTTTGTAAGTTCGGCAATTGCTAGCACATCGTGGACAGCCCTTGATTGCACCTCCAACAGTGACAACTTTCCAATAATGTTCGAGATCGCTTGCCCTGTCAAACCATCATGCCCGGACCTATATAAATTATTCAAAATTTCAACACGACCTAAAAACTGCTTTAGACGCTCCTTCTCAGGATGGAGATGACACTAAAGCTATAAAATTAAGCGCAGTAATCAAAAGGGCATACAAAAATGCTGAATTTGCTGTTGAATCTGCGAAGAGAGTACCCTATAGCCCCTGGTGGAATTCCAACTGTTCACGAGGTCAATATTATATTTACTCTTTAAAGAATGCCTGGATGCTGTATGACTGGAAAATAGCCAAGATAATCCCATTAACAAAAAAGCAAGGATTAGGTTTTACCATAGAAAATATCAGACCCATCTCGCTAACTTCGAACATGGTGAAACTCATAGAGAGGGTTCTAAAGGGCCGAATAAACTCCTGGATTACGAATAAGGTCATATTAAAGCCAGGAGAGTCCGCTAGGGGGCCAGGCAAGGCTGACGTGCCTCGCATGGGCTCCGTATTCTACGAAGTTTTTGTCGAACCAAGACTGCTTTTTTGGTGCCAACAGTGGTCTCTCTTGAACTTCAGCAAGTTGCCGACGCTGCTGGTGAGTGCCTGAAACCTCTTTGTTCTTGAGGAGCTTTGCAAACATCAACTCTTGCTGAGCGGGGGAACGCCGCGTCGTTAGCCCTAACGCCACCGGCACCGGCGTCGGGCTCGCGCTTCGACGCGCGTGCACAAGTTTTTCGGCAACGCAATGGCATACATGTTGAGTGGCACAGATTTACCTGCCACAGAATTCAACCCAGAATAATGAAGTGTATTCCTGAATGCCCGACAACGCTCACCTCGACAACAGTCAAAAGAAACTGAAGGAACGCAGTCAAGTAAAGCGGCGCCAGCTGCCGAAACGCCAGCACGCAAAACGGAATCACCGCCCAGCGTTTCCTCAAAGCTCGACAACACAGCTGTGGCGCGTCCTCGCTTAAAACGACTGCCACGGTTGCCAGTCGATGACTTCAAAATTGTCTTTCGTCCGAGTGCGGGCGTAGATCTGGCCCAATACAACGACGTAGAGTTACGAGCGGCTGTAGTCGCCAAAAGCGGACTGCACTCTGTGGTTGCCGACGAAGATCTTGTGTGCACCAATCTGGCCAAAAATATTTTCACCGTGTCCACATCTTGCGCCGACCGAGTTGCCAACTATGCAAAAATACGAGAACTCACGCTACGTGGTAAAAAACTGGGATTTCACGTGTACATAGCTCCCCCGGACGGGGCACGGGCAGGGATCATCTACCGCGCTTGGAATGGTGAATCACCTCAGGACTTGCTTCAAGAATTACGTCGGGCGAATCCCCTTCTACCAATAGTCCAAGCAAGAGACATGGGGCGTACCTCACGCTCAGTGCTCATTCACTTTATGGCTGAGGAGCTTCCTCCGTCAGTCAAAATGTTTGGCATCCTCTACGCCGTTTTCAACTTTCGACCGAAGGTGGAAGCGTGCCTAAACTGCAGACAAGTCGGCCACCGACGAGATGTATGTCGTTTGCCAAATCGCCTCACGTGCTCAAGCTGCGGACCGAAACACCCGGAGGAC